AAGTGATTTTACTTTCAATCTCGGCAATAAGACTTCGAGCAACATTTTCAGTGGACTATCTCCGTCCACATTTTCATTTAAGACGCAGGTCGCGCAGGCGGCGGCTGAGAAGCAGAGAGAAATGGCAGCGGATGCGGCGGCAAACAACGACAGCGTCGGTAATGAAGCAAACAATAGTTTCGGTGGAGGAGATGCATCCGCTGAGCTTGACTATGATCCGCGACCAGATTTCCAAGGTATCATACCGCTACCAGATGAGATAGAAGTGCGAACTGGCGAGGAGAATGAAATAGTTGAGTTCAGTCATCGAGCCAAACTGTTCCGGCACATTGACAAAGAGTGGAAGGAGCGCGGTATTGGTATCATCAAGATTTTAAAGAACCAAACAACCGGATGCACCCGCATTCTGATGCGTCGTGACCAAACGCATAAGATTTGCGCGAATCACAAAATTACGTCGGGTATGACCATTACGACACCCGAGCAGGATAAGGAGGAGAAGTCATTCCTGTGGGCAGCCAACGATTTTGCTGACGAAAAGTTGAGGCTGGAAAAGTTTTTGGTGCGCTTTAAGCTGGCCGAGACAGCCAAAGAGTTTAAGTTGGCTTTCGAAAAGGCGGCAAAGGAGGCAGTCAACACGGAAGTCTTACCGCCCGCATTGAGTCTGGCCAAGAGTAGCGCTGTTAACAGCTTTGTGACCAGCACTCCCGCAACGAATGCGGTGCCCAAGCAAACCGACTCAAATAAGGTGGGTGGCACTCAGCCCAAAACCGATTCCGTAGTCCCCAAGACACTGTTTGGCAACGTGCCCAGCTCAACAAACACTACTACAGCTACGACGTCGCCATTTGCCAATTTCAACTTTGGTAGTCTGGGCACTAAGCCATCAGCTGTCAATCTGTCCTTTGGCAGCGTTTCGGCTGTGGGTGACACGAGCACCACAAGTCACAACAACACACCTTTTACCACCGCCTTTAACTTTGGCAGCAACCTCTTTGGCAAATCGGAAGCAACTCAGCAAAGTCAACAAAGTCAGCAAAAAACCACAGCACAGCCCCAGCAAAATCAGCAGCAAACCATAACGGAATCCCAGCAAAATAATTTAAATCGATCGAACACATCGGATGCGGAGGCTGAGGAGGAATATGTTCCGACAGCACAATTTGCGCCTGTGATTCCTTTGCCTGAGCTTGTCGAGGTCGTCACTGGCGAGGAGGATGAATTGGTGCTATTCGAGCATCGCGCCAAGTTGCTGCGCTTTGATAAGGCGACCAACGAGTGGAAGGAGCGTGGATTGGGCAACATTAAGATCTTACAAATGAAATCAGATCCGACTGTTGTGCGTTTGCTTATGCGGCGCGAACAGGTGCTCAAATTGTGTTGCAATCAGCGGATCCTACCAGACACAAAATTCCAATATGCAAAGAACTCACAGAATGCCCTGACCTGGGCGGGACAGGATTATGCGGAACAAGAGCCAACCACAGAGATGTTATGTGTGAGATTCAAGACTGCTGACGTATGTAAGGAGTTTTACGACACGATACTGAAGGCGCAGGCGGCTATGTCAAAGGAGGAGCCCAATCAAACCAAACAGGTTGAGAAGAATTCAAATAAGGACTCGGAAACCAAAGTTCAGGGCTTTGGGGATGCTTTCAAACCGAAAGCCGGCAGCTGGAACTGTCAGGGCTGCTATACCGTTAACGATGCTGCACAACTTTATTGTGTGGCCTGCGAAGGTCCCAAGGATGACACTGTGCCACCAAAGACATCGGGATTGGGACAGAGTGGGGCTCTCAACCTAAGCAGCAGCGCCGGCAAATTCTCTTTTGGCTTTGGCCAGAGCCCAGTGACACCAACCTTTAGCTTTGGTGTGAAACCGGCGGTGGATAAAGTGCAGCCCCCAGCGGATCCAGTTGTGACTACCGCAACAACAACAACAGCCGCAACTACTGCAAATTCAACAGCCGTTACTAATTCTGGTAATGGCGTATCGAGTGTTAAGGCCCCGGCCCCTGTGACAGAAACACCCAAAACTCTTGGTTTTGGCGATGCCTTCAAGCCAAAGACGGGCAGCTGGAGCTGTAAAGATTGCTATACTTCAAACGATGCAGCTCAATTATACTGTGTGGCTTGTGAGGCGCCGAAGGATGACAGCGTGCCAAAGAAAGGCAACAAACTTGAAGGAAGCGGCTTTGCGAGCTTTCCACCTCCTTCAACCAAGTTTACTTTTGGTTTTGGTGCGCCAGTGTCAACCAGCAAGTCATCAACCACAGAATCTAGCGCTTTGCCGAATAAGACCACCGAGGGCAGCATCTTTCAATCGGCCAGTTTTAGTTTTATGCCAACGACAGGTTCAAACAGCAGTTCTTTGGCTTCCAACAAATTTAGCTTCTCAATGCCAAAGAGTCAGCAGCAGGAGCAGAAGCAACAGCAACCGCAGCAGCAACAGCAGCAGCAGCAGCCGCCAAAGAGTCCCACACGAAATCAGGGAGGCGCTGATGTAAGCAACGATGATGAGAGCAATGTGGAAGAGGAGGAGAACAATACATATTTTGCACCCGTAATTCCGCTACCGGATAAGGTAAGTAATATAACATTGCTTATAAATGCAAAATATAATTGATTGAAATATTTCTATAATAAAAATCGAATCTTCTAGGTTGATGTGAAGACCGGAGAGGAGGATGAGCATCTGCTCTATGTTCAACGTGCCAAGCTTTATCGCCTGTCTGAAGATGGCGAGTGGAAAGAACGAGGCTTGGGAAATGTGAAAATCCTTCGTCATAAGGAGACCAATAATCTGCGTGTTGTCATGCGTCGAGAGCAAGTCCTCAAGATCTGTCTGAACCATGTGCTCAACTCAAGCGTGATCTACAAGCCCAAAGATGAAAAATCCTGGATGTTTGCTGTGCACGACTTCAGTGAGGGCGAGTCTGTGCTGGAACGATTCGCTTTGCGCTTCAAGAACGCGGAAATTGCTCAGGCATTCCATAGTGCAGTGAAGAGTGCGTTAAACGGCACAGCCCAGCCCATTACAGAGGACGAAACCCAACAAGAAGCGCAATTAAGTGCTACTCCCAGTAAACCCAATGATAAACAATCGGTCGTTTCCGATGAAATCAAGTTACTAGCAAAAAAACTGTCGCTTAGCTGCGAGTTTCTAACTGCAGAGTCGACGTGCGCCGGCTGTCGTGGTTGCGAGCCAGAAAAGTTTGACTATGGGCAGCCGCCAAAGGTTAAAGGGGAAATAAGAGCGCTGCCACTGACTTTGCCAGAATTGCAATTACCCACACCCCAGGCACAGGACAAGCCTCAGGTGCAAGAAGGTGTTTCGTTGGCCAGTCGAGGCTTACTTAAGGCCAGTTCTTTATCGGCCAACAACACCTCAGATAAATCGAGTAGTTTCGGTGGTTTTAGCAATGCTGTCTCCGCTAACTCCACAACAGCCTCAGCAGCGTCATCCAAACTGAATACGAAGCAGTCGGCCGATGTAGGAGGTGGCTTCGTTTTCGGCAATTCGGGTAAGAATTGGTTTCAGGTTTCACTGAAGCAAAGTGCATTTTCATATGTTTCGCTTTTGATCTCAATACATTTTGTCCTTAGATAAACCATTTGCGCAGAGTACATCGTGGTTTGGAGGCAGTACAGGCAAGGCGCAGCAGTCGCATTCCATCTTTGGAGGTTTTAGTGGCTCGGATAACAAGATTAATAATCAGACAACTTCGATATTTGGCGGTCAGCCACAGGCAGCCAATCAAAGCGAAACGCCCAAGCTAACTTTCAGCCCGTTTGGCGAAAACAACTTAACAAACACCAGCAGTAACGCTTCATCTGGTGTAACGTTTGGCAGCATCGCCGGATCGAGTGTGACACCCTCGTTTGGCAATCTAGCAAAAGATAAAACCATGTCATTTGCCGACATGATAAACAACCAGAATCAGATAAAGGATAACAAAGAGAATATTGCGGCAGGATCTATTGGGACAAAGGCAGTCGTTGCCTCCACGATAGCTGATCAAGGAAATATCAATTGTTTCGCTGGATTAGCTGGAAGCGACGATTTTGCAAGTTTAGCAGCGAAGGGGTCCAGTAATCCGATTGGTTTTAAAAAATCGGAGTCCGGTGGCTTCTTTGGATTGACACACCAAGATGCTTTTAAAAACTTCAAAGCGCCGTGCAGCACATCAACTCCAACAGACACACAAGACAACAGTGTTGAAAACAATAATGACGACGATAACTACGATCCGCATTACGAGCCCATCATAGCCCTACCCAATGAAATTGTGGTAACCACTGGAGAAGAGGATGAGGACAAACTGTTTGGTGAGCGCGCCACATTATATCGCTACATTTCGGATACCAAGGAGTGGAAGGAGCGCGGTAAGTTTTGCAAATACATTTTAAAATTATTGATTAATGTTTAATTAACATTTCGATAGGAGTGGGCGAGATAAAGATTTTAAAGCATAAAACTTTGAAAACTTGTCGTATTTTAATGCGTCGTGAGCAAATTTTCAAGCTGGTACTCAACATGCCGATAGGTGAGTCATTCAACATGGATTACATGAACGGACAAAAGAAGAGCTTCATTTGGGCGAGCTTTAACTATGCCGAATCGAGTGAGGGTGAAATGGAGCGTCTTGCCTGTCGTTTTAAGAAAGAAGAGATTGCGCAAAAGTTCTTAGAGACTGTGCAGATGTGCATAGCTGACGCCAAAGCGTCGCATGCGTCAGAGTCTCAATCGGAAACTTGAATTAATATTTATGTGTCCTAAGCTAAATACTAATATTTCATTGTTATATAAGATCGAAAAGTAATAAAAATGAAATGAATTCATATTTCGAGTTTTTGATTTGAATTTGATTATCGTTTGCGAGCGATCTGGCAGCCTCGTTATTACTTTATTTTGAGGTTTACAGCACTGGTTACTATTTCACCGAGCAACACTGCTATATGCGAGTTTTACAACACTAGTACGCTTGACAGATAATGTGAGAGAGTGCACTACATTTGACATAATGACGTGGTGAACTGTGTGAAAAAAGAACAATAAATTAGTGATGCCGACACGATTAGTAATCTAATTAATGCATTATTTTGTAAACACCAAACGTGCTAAATTTATATAGAAATAGTCAGCAGCAGGCATTGATACTTGAAATACACATTGACATCTGAGTCGACACGAAAACAAGCATTTTGTATTAGAAAGAGGAAGGAGGTCGATCAGGAGGAGACGTCGCAGCAGGGCAATGAAATAATTTACACTTGAAGAGGTGATTGTAGTTGTTTTCTTTTTTTTTTTTTTTGTTTTGTTTTTGACGTCGCTATTGCGTCGCCAGCTGCATCGAAAGTTTGACGCCAAACTATCGAGAAGACAAAATTTCTACCATTGCGAGTGAGAAAAAAACGGGTAGCTGTTTGCGGAGGGGTAGCAGGCGCTACACCAAACTACGGTCACAATGATGAATGAAGACAGTGCGAGTACGTCAACGTCGACCAGTGGCGGGGGTGGCGTTAAAAAGTTCTTTCTGCGTTTATCACAGGTGAGTGAGTGTATATTGATTATAGAATGCATTTATTGACTCATCGCTGATTACAGATCTACCAATCATCCCTTGATCGCTCTACGCCGCACACACGTATGCGATGGGTGTTTGCTGGATTTGTGTTGCTCCTATTTGTACTGCGAATATTCATCTATCAGGGCTGGTATATTGTGTGTTACGCCCTTGGAATCTATCACTTGAATCTGTTCATTGCATTTTTGACGCCAAAAATCGATCCGGAATTTGATCCATATGCGCAAGAAGATGACGACGAGGGACCGAATTTACCCAGGCATAGCAATGAGGAGTTTCGACCATTCATACGACGACTGCCCGAATTCAAGTTCTGGCTGTCGGTGACAAAAAGCACTGCAATTGGCCTATTTTGCACGTTCTTTGACTTTTTCAATGTGCCTGTCTTCTGGCCAATATTAGTCATGTATTTTATTACACTTTTCTGCATAACGATGAAGCGGCAAATCAAGCATATGATCAAGTACAAGTACTTACCATTCACCCGGAATAAGCCACGATATCAGCGCGTCAGCCAGGTTGCGGGCGGTGGCCCCAGTATTGGAGGAGCTAGCTCAAAGTGACAATTAGCCGCACAGACGCCGGACACACAAACGACAACAGGTGCAACAACAGCAACGGCATCAGCAGTAGCAACATCAACCGTAAACAGCTCAGCCTCAGCGGCGGCAGCAAGTTCAACGGCTGCAGGGACGTCCGCGGTTACTGCTAAACCACCGCAAATCATAGCAATTGAGGAATATTAGGAAGTTATATCGGAAACTAAGTAAAAACTCAAACAAATTCATGTAAACCACACATCTGCAATAATTTCGGGTTCCATCATTGTATTCAAGCTAGCATGCTATTTTGTTTATGAGGCATTCATTTATTTAGTTTTTGATTTATTACGTTGTCGTGCGGCGTTTTGTGCAAAAAATTGTTTATTGTTTATATAATTTCTTTATTATCTTATATTTATTTCTATGCAACTTCTGTTCCACAAACAACAGTTCAATATTCTAGCTAACGATTATAACTTAAAATTACCTTTACCTTTTTCAAATCCAAAAAGTAGATTTACGGAATCCTAAATTTTTTGATTACACACCTTGGCTAGATATGTATTTTTGTTTTTACATATATTGTTAGCGTTAACTATACAAAATGTTAGAATATAACGAACTAAAGAAGGTTTGAACTGGGTGCATCATATGAATAAAATAAAAACAAATGAAACTAAGAGTACATCGGATAAATTGGAATTTGATTTTGGCGCGAAACACTGGCTAGTGCGCGAAGAGTGTAATGGTTGGAGCTGCCACTTTACTTTTCTTGCGTTGGCAGCCCTGGTATATACATTGCGACTGCTCGAAACTGGTCACACTTTTACCCAGCCCTAATACGGACATCGCTGTTGCGAAACTGCACCACGCAGTGTGTTGTGATAGTCTAAGAAAATAGTTTATAACAATTTGTAATTGTTTTTGTTCTACGTCGTCCGAGTAATGCAGCAATGTGCCTTCGCTTTGATGGGCGCTCCTGCTGCTATTGTAACCAAAGTAAACTCTTCAGCGCCGTCGACGAATCTGTCGCCGACGTCGTCAAAAAATCCAATTAACAGCTAACTCAACACTCAGGTGTTCTAATTACAAATATACGGCACCCACGTATAATGGCAATAAAAAATGTTCTAAATGGCCTCATAATTCGACGCCGTCGCCTCATCCTTTACACCATGATCACATCATTAGTTACATCTGCTTTAGTAATGCCTTCAGTTGAAGGTTTGTCAGCATCATCACCATTGCCCGAAGAGTCAAGCGAATCGGATCTGCAAGCGGCAAAGCCAACTCCACCTGGAATACCGCACTGTGTGGAGCAGCAGGAACGAAGCATTGGACGAAGGTAAGACGAAGAACCTACACAAGCATTTTGTTTCTAAGAGACATACATACATACACATGTATGTATGTATGTGGAGTTGTTCTCGAAAGTTCGCAAATAAACAGTGCAAGTATGAAGATACCGCAGTTAAGAACTATGCACTGCAAATGTAATGCGATTGAATAATAGTTGAAATTAAGCAGTGTAGAGCTCGAATGTGAATTCACAATATCCTGGCATCAGTAAAAATCATGTCAAATAAATTTGATGTTTGTTCGAGCTTATCAAACCGACGGTGAGTCATGTGTCAAGTGTTTAACACTAACTAATTGACTGTAAAGTTGTATACATTAATATTAATAACAAAAAACAAACAAAACACAGAAAAACCAACAACTATTTGCCTGGTAATTAGAATAAATTTAGCTGTGGAACGTGCGATTATAATTTCTCTCAAAGCTTAGAATTTCAAAACGTTTTATGCAAAGCGATTTCGAATTTCACCATTCTTTTCGCTTTTGTTTTGCCGTCCGGTCAGACGCCAAGTCGGCTTCTGTGCCATCTTTAGCAGGTGTGTGTATAGGTAGGTGGGTGTGTGTGTGTGTTCATGCATGTGCGTGTAGCATTTTTCTTAGCGGCGAACACTTGTTGACTGATTTTTTTGCGCATAATTCTGTTTACGTTTCACAAGTCCACTAACAACACCTCTCATGCCACCACCACAGCTAATGTAACTGTGATGTGTATTTCGAGCATTGGTGGGTTAGATAACAGTGTGGGCCTCTATAAGGGCTTTATTTTGTTTTATCGAACCGTTGTAGAGTAAAGGGTATATACAGCCTAGTGTCACCCTCGATGTAAGAGCTTTTATTTTTTGTTTTATAGAACTGAGGACAACTGTAAAGTATATGGTATTGATTTGCGTGAACTTACTGATGTAGGAGCTTAAAAAAATGTATCGAGCTGTAAATTATAGGGTATATATTGATTAATTGCTAAAAAATGTCAATTCTGGAGTTCTATATTGAAAATTAATTTCATTTTTCTCTGCAGATTATTGTATATCACTACGTTAGATGGTCGCCTCAGCGCTTTGGATATTGCAAAATCAGGCAAACAGCGATGGAGCATTGAAACGGGACCCGGTCCACTCATCTCATCAAGCATTCATCGCCTAGAGCTAACTAATAATGGACAGTTTGTACGCATGATACCATCCCTGAGTGGAGGTATTTACAAATTCGATGGCGATTCCATTGATCCCATACCCATTACTGCAGAGAACTTACTTAGCTCCAGCGCTAAGTTCAGTGATGATCTTGTTATCTCCGGCGGCAAGGAGACACGTAACTATGGCGTTTCCGTGAGAACTGGACAGCTCCTTTACGAGTGTTCCATAAATGGCTGTGTGAATGCCACGAATGAGGAGCGTGTCATTAACGATACAATTAGCGCACAAGATAAGAATGATCATAATGAAGAGCATGCTGATGAGGAATTGAGAGATGAAGAGGGTTACATTGTTCCACACAATTCCCTTCTGGACGACGTTATCGTGATCCGTCGCCAGACTCAAACAGTACGGGCCGTTGAGTCCCGTACAGGCATTGAGCGCTGGAATTTTAGCGTTGGACAGCACGAGCTTAATCTGATTCGAGCCGATGATTGTCATGAGGAGCCGCGTAGCGACATTGAACTGGCTGTCTTGGATGTGGATATAAGAGTTGTAGTGCCAGAGGGCATTGTGTGTGCATTTAGCAAGAGTGATCCCCAGCTAATGCTCTGGAAGCACCAGGTGAGTGTGTAGAACCAAATTAAAGATAATAAATAACTCGCTTTATTTTACTTCACAGTTCAACAATCCCATTGTGAGTGTATGGCACACAAATGAAGCCGACGAATTGGAGTCCATCGATCTTTTTGGTTCGGCTCATTGGCAGGCTGAACAGCACGTAGAGGGCAAGCCCATCCATGCGCCCTCAATCTATTTGGGCATGTACGAAAAGCAGTTATATATACAGGAGTCCATTCGTTTGCGAGAAGAAATTATGTTTCAGTCGCAGCAGTATCAACAGCTTTCGGGCGATACAAGTTCTCTGCCGCGAATACCCTGGCGGCCGATTGCAGCCAGCAAAAACTCATTAGTGCTTTTCCAGAACGAGCGCGATCAAGTAATCATATCCGAGGACTATGGGAGAAATGAATTAGTTCGATATGACGACCAGAACTTGGCTGTGGCAGCGCAGTCAGTCTTGAATGCCTCGGAGTTTGTAAATGGCAATGGTTTCTATTTCTACACCGACTCACAGCTGAGCAAGCAAAGTGGTAAGCTGGAATGTGGCGCTAATGATACACCCACTGACTTGCCTGCTATAGAGAAGCCACCGAGCACTAACGAAGAAGAAGAAGGTRGCAAATCAAATGCAGCTGGCGGAAATCAGAGTATCAATGATGATCTGGGCTTCAGCTTGGACGATATTGATGCACCTGTCAAGGTTATCATTCTCTCGCTGTGGTTCTGGTGGAAGGAGATTGTGGTCATTGCGTTCACCTCAGCGGTGCTGCTCAACATGTTTATGGGCCACCGCAATCAACGAGTTGAACGTGAGTACTTTGTCATCGAGAGGCATGTGCCTGTTCAGACGGCCATTGAAGCGACGGAGGCATCTACCCAGGCGCTCTTGGGGCCAGTGCAGTCCTTGGCAGGGAACCATCACCAGCAGCGTGGAAATCAACATAATAACGCTTCAAGTGTTAGGCGCTTGCAGAGGTCCATTTCAGAGTCGACCACAAATTCCGGTGAGCACTTTGTATCGCGTTTTCAATCAGACTTCGACCTGATGCAATGCCTGGGTCGAGGCGGATTCGGCGTGGTCTTTGAGGCAAAGAACAAGTTGGATGAAAATCATTATGCGATCAAACGTATAACATTGCCGAATAAGGAGTCCTCGCGTCAACGTGTTCTGCGTGAGGCGCGGACCTTGGCCAGCTGCGAGCACCAAAATATCGTGCGATACTTTCATGTATGTTTCTATTTAACTTATATTTCAAATGGTAGAAAAATAATATATTTTTTATTGCAGTCCTGGGTAGAAACACCACCTGTAGGCTGGCAGGAAGAGGAGGACCGTAAGCTGTTGGCACACGAAATGTCAACTTCCATACAAATTGAAACTCCGGATGGCAGTAGCATGCCAACTTTTCCAAATCATCCACATAAAAAGCATCATGATCTAGCTTCTTGGGTCTCGGATACTGTGAACAGCACTGCCTGTAGCAATGATTATGGGCATGGCGACAAATCGTTCAGCCGCAWTGCAAAATACAACGAAGATGATGATGATGATTCGCTTATTGAATTTCGCAGCGAATCACAGTCAGCGGCTCTCCATGCAGACGAAATAGACATGAGCGAGAAGCAGCCGATGCCACCCAGTAACGAGATCCAGCAGCGTACCCAACCGACCGCTGTGTCCATTGATGTGCACTCTGCATCCTTTGATTTGAAGAACATCAATTACACGCAGCATCAGCTATCTAATTCATTTCAAATCGAATCGGTTCGTTCGAAGGGCAACAGCAGCGGCACAGATGATGACGCTGAAGTATCGCCCAGGCGCAAACCATCGACGTTGGCGCTACCTCACAATCATAATAATCACAATCACAACCAACAGATGCAAACACAGTCACACAGCAACCAGATAGTATTGTCAAACTCTACTACGCAGAACGGGAACACAGCTAAGCCGAATAAGGTTTACCTTTATATACAAATGCAGCTATGCCGCAAGGAGAGTCTGCGCGACTGGCTGCGGGACAATCGCACCGAGGCGCGTGCCGCGCATATCGCTCACATCTTCCACCAGATTGTGGATGCGGTAGAATATGTCCACCTAAAGGGCCTAATACATCGCGATCTGAAGCCTAGTAACATATTTTTTTCCAAGGATGGACAGATCAAGATTGGCGACTTTGGACTCGTTACCGACATGGCGGATATTCCAAATATCTTAAATGATTGCGGTGATCAATCTGGTTTACCGTCTTGCGCCCGCCACACGCAGTTGGTGGGCACACATCTGTACATGTCACCAGAGCAATTACGTGGTCAGAATTATGACTACAAGGTGGATATATATTCGCTGGGCTTAATATTTTTTGAGCTGCATGTTTATTTTTCCACTGAAATGGAACGCATTAAGACTCTTCGTGCCTTGAGGGATGGCCACTATCCTGAGGACTTTGTCAAACAACATCCGGAGCAGTATGAGTTGCTTCAAAAGATGCTCTCTTCGCAGCCAGCGGAACGGCCGCAAACAAATCAGCTGAAACAGCAGTTGCACGAAATTCTACAGCTGCCCGAACGCATGGTAGATGGCCACAGCGAACAGGCAGCGATGGAGGCAGCCACGCGTCGGCTGAGTCGCAGCCGCACTTTTAGCACCAACAGCGAACAGCATCAGTGATAAAGACAACAGCCGAGGGACGTTGGTGTATGAACCCATAGCTTTAAGTTAAATTAAGTCATCAACATTTGATTATAAGTTATCTATTTTTTTTTTAATATTCAATTATTACTCAAGGCACGTTGGCGGCTGAAATGCGAATCGAGCATTCAACTAATTTTAAGTTATTCATTTTATTCATGCCTATTGTAAATTATAGTTATTATTAAAGTTCATATAGTGAGCTATGCAGTTTGTTTTACTTTCAAAAGTGAAGGTAAAAATACATAAGGTTTTTGAAACAAACGTAACTAGAACTAACTAACGTCACTAGAATTTAGGTAAACTCCTAATCGTTTGTATACTTATCCTGAAGCTAATTTATTAGTTAGTTATATCAACGGATTTTAGAATTATTTACAAAATCAATTGTTTTCAATTAAATTCTGACGAACGCGTTTTTTGTTTTAACGATAAGTGAAAGAAATAAAAGAAAAATATAACAACATAAAAATATATTTTTTGTGGCATCAGATGAAAAGACAGACAAATGAGTATGTATTCAAATACGAACAAGTACTTAAATCATATATTTGCCTCTTTTATATTCAAGTTTTTTATATGAAGATGAGGATTTTAAACAATTGGATAATATATGTTATGTCAAAAGACTTCCAATTTATGGAAATATTAAAATGTTTGTGAACTGAATATAAATAAGTATACATAAATATACCATTCACATAGCATTATTAAAAGTTCATAAAATGATAAAACTGCATTTTGTTCTATTGTTTCATTCTTTTTATTTGGGTTTGCAGTTTTCCAAAAACGTTCTCTACATTGCTAACGGATTAGTCGTTATATATAGTTGCGTCTTAACGCACGCAGATTGCAAAAACAATACATACACATGGCATAATATAAGCACATATATAAGTACTAGTACTATAATGATTATTATGTTGAGGCTTCATTTTTCATTGCTTAATAGTTAGTTAGTTGCGGCGTGTGTTTCTTTTCGTCTTTGTTTTTGTCTTTTTGTCTTTGCTTTGTCTTTGTCTTTACCTTTGTGTGGGTGTATACATCTTGTATTAAAAAGGATTTCTWTTCTGCCATCTTTGTGTTGTTGTTGTTGTAAATACAGGTGTACTCGTATATAAATAACTGCCTTAACTTTAGTTTCTAGCTCTTAATTATTATTATTATAGTTATAATTTTTATCTTCATTTTTGAACGCACTAAACAAACAATAAGCGGCTGAAGCATATTGCATTTGATTCGTAAATGTTTGTAATTTAAATTTCCATTTTAAATATAATATATTATAACTACAGGCAACGCGTTGCTTAAATATATAACTCAACCGCAAGTGTGTGTTTGCTTTTGTGTATATTAGTTATAATCGTTATATTAATTTAGTTAATTTAGTTTTAGTTTTAGTTTTGTTTTTGTGTTTTTGTTGTTATTAAATGTGACTCGGTTTTAGCATATTATATATTCAAAAAAATTAACAGCCATTTTGACGAATTCGTAATCGTTCGAAATCATGAGAGAAAACTCGAACCAAATACATGTATTATACATAGTTTATTATATTTGTAAGTACAATACGTATATTTCATACAAATGCGTGGATGTTCAGGCTTCCTATGAGACATCTATATAAGAACTTCAGCGTCGTATGTGTTGTTCGATTTGTGTTTCAATTTTCAGATCTATGCAATGAACACATTTCAACAAGTCAACCTGATTTGGCTGTACATTTTTACTATATCATTGTAGTTGTTAATGCATTCAAATTGTTATTGTTTATCTGTTTTCTGTTTGTTTTTCGATTAATGGTAGTCGTATGCCACTTTTATTTTCAACTATATCTTCTTTCTATAATTTAATCGTATTATTGCCTATTAATTTTACCCTTTACTAAATTCATTCCATTCGAAATGTGAATTCACATTTTCTATATTGGTTTGCCAGCTCTGGTCAATTGAGTACTCAACTTGATTGGATTCTACTATGTTATATACCAGATAGGCAGTGTGCTCAATTGCCGTCGGCATTTATGTATATATATATTTATATAATAATAAGTGTAGACTGACTAGATTTTGTTTGTTTTTTAATGTACATACATATATGTCATTATATATTGCTGTAAATATTGATCAAATGTAAGTACGTATCGTGTCGTCTAGTATAGTGTAGTATAGTGTAGTGTAGTGTAGTGGAGTGTAGTGTTGCGTTGTGTGGTATAGTTTGTGTTTGCTTTATATAATAACTATATTGCAATTTACGAAAATTCTTGAAATCTCTATGTACAAAGTCAGACTTGATTGCTTATCTTTCGAGTTTTGTTGAGGTAAAGAAAGAGTTCGGTATAGAGACATAGTAGATTTGTTTTGTGAAAATAGTAAATGTCAGCAATTTTATTGTGGAAACTTAAGAGTTACCTACCTAGTTAGCTAGTCAATATTCTCTGACTACGACAAACTATACATATATATTTACTATATACATATATGTATATATATTCCCTTTTAAATAATAGCTTTTAAATATCTGAATTGGATCTTAACATTCGTAATATAAAACAATTGTTTCTTGTGCGCATTATAAAATTGCAACCTTAATAATAGTATTTATCGGTTATTAAGAAATAACTTTTGGGTTGCATTGGTTTTAAGGCTTGATGCTTAAATTATTAGATTTATTAATTTCATACTCAACTATGTTAATTCTCTGCTCTGCGTCACTTCGGGTAAGGTATTTAAATAACAAAGAAATTGCTTTAAGGCAACAATTATTGTTATTATATTTTCTTCTCTTACAATATTTTCTAAAAATACGAAATGCCTTTCTCTAAATTTTTTAAAAGAAAACAAGTTAAGTAAATGAATAGCAAGCTTAACAATCTTACGGACTTGTTTCTTTTTCTTTTCTTTCTTTTTTGCTTTTATGCCAGATTAATTGCTGCATTAAAACAATTTCTAAAACATGAGCAATTCTTAAAATCATTTAAGTATTTGTCATATATTTAATTATTTACTATTTAAGAGGGTTTTTACTTGACTTTAACATATCTATCGTCGTCCTGTGCCTAATAACTAATTCTTGAAATGATCACAACGTTAATGAATTTATATATACGTACATGTATATATATATACTATTTTGCTTATAGATAGCTACCGTATAAGTATACCATTTATACTGATGGATTTTGGGTTTATCGCTGTTGTTTTCATTAACAATATTTGTATTTCTATACTCATAAAATGTATTGTAAATTATGGTGGGATTATTTACCTATTACGTACAAAAATGAATATATATAATTTTTAACTCAAGCTATGTATTTATTGGCAGCTTTTCATATAATTTGGTTTTCTCTTGTGTTTTTCTTTTTCTTCTAATGACTGTAACGCGTGTAATTTTCTATTCTTGTATATGTTGCGGTTATTCAATAAAAATTTACACTTGCCAATGCGAATGCACCAAAATTGCAAACGTTGCAGCTGAAAGCCGCAATAAACAACGATGCAATGAATGCAGCTTAGCTCACGCTTGGCTTAAATAAAGTAGCGAGCATAATGTTCAAATTATGGCAAACAAAGGCTAACAGAGACAATGGCCAGCAATGATAATGGAGCGTGGGCACGGCGGAGAGGGGAAAAGTGTGTCGAGAACTAAATGTAATATGTATATCATATATATAGATATATATATACATATACATATATATATGAGAGTATATAAGTGTATGATAAAATATGCACCAGCAAGCATCTGAAAGGGACTTTCGCTGTTACTGTGCTTAAGAGAATTGAATGACCCCTACGGCCCAGCTCAGCCGAAAGCAAGCAAGTGTGCTGCAGTCGGGACTGACCGACTAGGGGATACCCTGACCATTTCACTAAGCTACTGTTACACTCGTAAGCCCAGGCACAGATATACACACACTCACACATGAGCACGGCCATGAGAGTTTTTGAATATCTTCGGCTTATCATTTCTGATATTCGGGCATTAAGGGAATATATATAGCAGTCAATGGTGTGCGAGTATATACGTGAACAAAGTCGTTTAAATCTCGAGGGCTATGAAGGGAAGAATCTATATATCTACAATACTATATATATTTAGATTCTTCAGTCTGTGTATTCATTTCGAATTTTGTGCTTCTAACTTTTATCATCTTTGAAAACGTAAAAATATATATATGTGTGTCTATCGATATTCAACAACTGTACTATATAAAAAGAATATATATTTTAAATTTCTCAATCCTGATCAAGATTATATATACCATATATCATCGCTCACGTCGCTTTTCGCCTGTTGCATCCATTTCTAGAAAAAACTAAAATCTTTTTTGGCAATTTTTTAAAGGGTTCAGGGTACAGAAAGGAAAATCTTTTGGGTATCATGCGTTCGAGTAAGGTGTTTGTCTAAAAAACTTGTGCAGCATTTGCTACAGTATTGTACAGCGTCCTTTATTCCTAGTTGATTGTGAGAATTCAGTGCCAACAAGAACGCCGACAGCTGCGCCATTGACGCCTCCGCTGCTACAGCCCATTAGCTCTCGAAAAACGTCGCCGATTTTGTAGTTGTATCTGTTGGGGATCGGGTAAAATATAATTTACATATTTCGCAATGGTCAATATTTGGATTTGCATTTGCATTTGCAYTTGCAAGAGTTATGCTAAAAGCAGAGATACTCACTGTGCCGAGCACTCTACGTATCCACAACGCCAATGCTTGCGCACCAGCGTAGAAATGTCTTTAAGCTCCTAAGAAAAGGGATAATACAGAAATTTTTTACTATTACAGATAATTATTTTAGTATCTATAAAAAAA